TTTAAGTTTGGTTTGTTTGGGGATCCTTCCACTCACTCGTCGACCCTATCCCCCCACTGGTAAGCCTCAGCCCCTAATTCATTTATTTCTCCCTTTGTGCTACAGCCCTGTGTGACTGTTTTAATTGCATTTTAACTAGTGACTTGTGCCAAATAAAATTGTATATTTTTGATAACTTGAAACCGCGTCTCCTGCTCCATTAGTATTCGAACCTATGTGTCCTCTCTATAACTGAAAGAAGTGTTAATATTTCCTTGGGTGAAACTCCCAAGGTGGCGTTGTCGGAATTGTGAATGGTGTAATCAAACCAACTTTAACAAATACATTCACCTATCCTCCCCTCTGCGGCTACTGCCACATAATTATAAAAGAGAGACTTTAGAAACGATGCAAATCGCTGTGTTTATGTGATACATGTTAATGTGTGTGCATTTACATTGAACTAAGGGGAGGGACAATTCCAAAACAACGAACACCTCCATTGGACTCCTTTGTTTACCGTAACATAGTGACATAATTATGGAAGACTGGCACTTATTTTGGCTAGCAGCAGTGGCTCAGTCTGTAGGGACTTGGGCTGGGAACCGATCCAGGACTTGGCATCGGAACCGAAGGGTTGCGGTTCAAGTCCAAATCGGACCAAAAAAATATAGAGTGTGGACTGGTAGCTGGTGCCAGTTCACCTCTTGTACTGCCGAGGTGCCCTTGAGCAAGGCACCGGACTCCCAACTGCTCCGGGTGCTGAACAACTAGTAGCCTCTCCACTTTGCCAACTTTTCACTACTGCATGTATTTCTGTTGGTGCATGTTCATGTATCTCAAGACTGTGTACCTCCGATGCTGTATACAGTTCCCTTTCATATCCAGGGCCTTTCTTATTTTGTTTTACATTCTCAGCATAGCATCTTATTTAACCCTTGCATGCATAGAGGTCACTACAGTGGACAGCTATTCAAAAGGCGTTTTCTTGTATATGCATTGGGTTTTTTTGCATAGTTGCACCATCAGCCACTACATAGGACCCTATTGCATCATCCCATACACTGCCACTCAGTGCCAAGTCAGTGTAAGTGCATGATACATGTCTCTAAACCAAGATGGACGACAGAAAGCCACATGGACCAAGTCACCCAACTATATCTTGCCAATCCTTTTATGGAAAGCGTCCCCTGCAGGTATAAAAAGGTGGTGACATCAAGTAACAACTAAAGAATCATATAATTCATAAATGATCAAAGTATTTATTTTATGTTTGCAGGGAATCATGATTAACCACCTGTCCACTACAGTGGACGTCATGCATCACTGGCTATATTTCAACTATTCATACTGGTACTGCTGCTGTTGTTCCCAGGGCCGTCCCTCCCTACAGGCAGATCATGCAGACTGTGTGGGGCCTCACCTTGTGGAGGGGGCCACACCTTGCGGAGGGGGGCCTCATCTGAGGCGCACCTATGCGCTTAAGTGGCGCAATTAGGGTGGCGCGGCACGGTTTCGCCGCTGCGAGGCTCCACTAGCACTCATCAAATAACTGTGCGTGGGGCCTCAAATTGGCCCCTGGCCCTGGTTATTCTTGAAAATACTTCATCTGCAATATCTATTTGGGCCGTAAATCAACATACTTATGTTATTATAATGTAATTTTAAGTTTGCACATCTTTATTTATCATTTTTTCAAAATGTACATCCCTTCAGTTCAAACCCTGAACGCATATGTCCACCTGAGTGGACATATAAAAATCTCTTTGAAAAAACTAGATTAAAAAAAAAAAAGTTCAAATCTTGTTTTTCATGCACCAAGAGCAATAAAAACACTTGGTAAAAAAATCCTGACTGAGGCTTTCATAATTCATGCATGAAAGGGTTAAAATGCCGGTGATAATTGTTGTGTTATTCAATAATACATGTGAGGTCAACTGTCACAATTACGTGTCTCTTTATTGGTCGCTCACATGCTAGAACACCCCTAGCTTACATGCTCCGTTACCATCACATGTCGTCTCCCTATGACGTCACTGAACCATGCCCGTAAGGCTTCACTACTATTGGCTAACACACACACACAGCACAATAACACCACAATAATGTCATTGTTGTGTTAGCTAAGCTGATAGCTCTCTGATGATAATTATTTGTCAGCCTGCAGCTGTTTTGATTATAACACTTTGTTCAGAAGCTACGTTAGCTGAATGGCTAATGCTTCCTCACTGAGGATCTTGAAACTGCAGCATCTTGAGTGTTCGAAATAGCTCTTTAATGATTTCCTGCTCAGTACAAGCTGATTTTATTTATCAAGCAAGCAATACAACAGCGTCTTTACAGTGCTTTTTATCTCGTTTTGGATCCAAACTCTTAAGCAAAAGGATAAAAGCTTCTCATATACGGGCGCATGTTTCAAAGAGCTAGGAAGCTAAACAGGGTTAGCTTCTGTCACTCTAACCCTCAGCGCTGCAGCAGCATAAAAAGGGACCACGACTGGATTGACACCTGAAATACTGTTTTTTGTCAAGGCATGTGTATGGTTCTGAAGAGGTATCGAGCTGTCTAACACTTTCAATTAGAAACTGAACGAGTGAAAGGAACGCTGGCAGAATAAAAGTGTCCTCGTCCCTGAGACATGCCTCTCTGCGGGATAACTAACGCTAGTGATTAAGTTATTGGATAATCAGAAGGATAGCAATAGAACAGAAACACACAAATGTGAAAACACACACACACACACACCAACATAAAAACACACCCAAGGGTGTAACTTTGGTTTGAGAAGTGGGGGGGGGGACAAAACAGGGGGTTCTCCGCAATGAAACATTGTTCTCGATTTAATTCCATTTCCTGCCTTTCTACAAATATATTAGGGACTATGGTGTTAACTAATCCAAGAAAAATGTGTAGTGTATATAATGAGCGTGCAAACTTATCTAGTATCCTATCCATGTGAACCTGTTTTATTTGTGATGACCTCACACCCTCTAGGGCAGGGATTCCCAACCTTTTTCCCCGAGAGCCCCCCCAAATGACTCCTGTTGTTGGAAGTTGCGCCCCCCCCCCCCCACACACACACAAACAGGGGGGGGGGGGGGGGGGGAACAGTCAAGGCAACAGCTGTAATTAAAGTTTAAAAGTCTCAAAAATGCTACAACTACTGTCACAAACTGGATGAATCTGAAGTATCCCGCCGCTGGAAGTATAGGATTTGGGATGACTCTGTTCTTCATGGTTGGCTTTACTATGCTGATTAAGGACTAGGGGGCGCAACTCCTCTCAGTCCTGGTTTTAGTTCAGAATGTTCTTCTCCTAGATGGGTTGCCTTCCATGGCTATGAGCCCCATCTGCCCCTGCTATTTGCCCATAGTTGGGGAGCAGTTTTTAGGGAACGGTGCCTTGCTCAGGGACACCTCGGTAGCACTTGGTCCTTCCGGTACTTGAACTGGTGACCTTCCAGTTGCCAAGCCACCGCCCGTTTATTAGCTACTAACTTGAATTTTTATTTTAATTAATTAATCAATTATTTGTTATAGTTTATTGTAATGTAGAGACAAGGCTTTTAGCGACAATCATGTATTGTGTAACAATTATATGTAAAAACAAAAAGTCTAAATATGATATTAGGCCTCAAATCATCTGAGGCCTGGCGCACACCCTGCGATGTTTGGCGCCCCCCCCCAAGGGGGTCCCCCAGGTTGGGAACCACTGCTTTAGGGGGATCTGGGGGCATGCACCCCCAGGAAGATTTGTTTCTTTAAATTGAAGTTAAAGGCATCAATCTGGTGCACAAATTAAGAGATGTATGGATACAGCTCTCAACACTCATATGAAACAGAACTGTATATATTTCAATACTCGAAAAACCATTAGAATAGGCTCACAAGCAATAACATATAACTGATATACTCCTATCTTTATCTTACCTAGTCTGCATTCTTTCTTTTTATTTATGCATATTTGACTAATCACTCCCCTTTTAAACTGTGTTTTTTTATTTTTTACTGACCTATAGCACACAGTGGAATGATTTATTAACTTATTTTGAACAACTATATTAGATAGATGGAAATATTTGTTTACATAGATGACCAAACCGTTTGACATTATCGCTCTCAGTCCCACAGGAGAGGACTCTCCCTCTCCTTATTGTTGAAGCAGCTTCTAATCTCCGTTAGCTCCGAGCTAGCACCAGATGCTAACAACAACCAACAACCCCGTCTCTCTCTCTCTCCTCTCTCTCTCCTCTCTCTCTCTCTCATCTCTCTCTCTCTCTCTCTCTCTATCTCTCCTCTCTCTCTCTCTCTCTCTCTCTCTCTCTCTCTCTCTCTCTCTCATCTCTCTCTCTCTCTCTCCTCTCTCTCTCTCTCTCTCTCTCTCTCTCTCTCTCTCTCTCTCTCTCTCACACACACAGACGATGACCGCTTACGTAAGAAAATGATAATAAACACATTTGAAAAGTGGGGTGGGGGACAAACGGGATTTTGAAAAGTGGGGGGACATGTCCCCCCTGTCCCCAGTGAAAATTACGCCCATGAACACACCTATACACTCTTGTTGTTATTACATTCTGTAAAGTAAATATATAAGCTACATCTACTTTGTTTATTGTTGCAAGAAAACAGCAACATAAAGTAATAAGAACAGTATGTACTTACTATTTCAAAAGTAAAATGTACCATGAAAAAAGAATTATTTAAATAGGAAGAGGAAACATTTTAGTATGTTGGTTTGCGTATGTAATTTATCCTGAATTTATTTTGGTTTAGTTTTTTTTCTCGGGAAAAGGATAGTCTGCAGTGTATTTCCTGTTCTTCTCTGTTCAGATATTAAGACAAACCATTACAAGAGAATAGATGTGTATGGAGCTGGGGAAAGAGTCTAAGACAGGGCCATACTTTCTGAATTTGCTGAGGGCCAAATAAAAATGGACACCCCTGGTGGAAGATGATGTGTTAGAACAGATGTGGGGTATATATTCAGTGTGCAGCCTACCGCAGCACTGACAGTTACTTCACCTTGTAGTTCCTGCAGGTGGGGTTGAAGGCGTTGGTACCGCAGGCGAACAGCGTCTCGTCATCTCGCGGCACCAGCACTTTGACGTAGTTGTAGCACTCGTCCTAAAACCCAACAAACCAAAAAAGTGTCTTCTACTCTCTATAACACTTATTGATCACGACTGTCAGGGTTGAAACTAGGGCTGCACAATTATTCCACATCTTGTTGTAATTGCAATATGGTAAATATGCGTTTAATATCGTTTAGAATTAATTTTGTAGAACTGCACAGATATGCTGGCCTAAACATCGTATTGCTACAGACTTACCTTATTTTGTTTGGTAAGGAACAAAATTGCACTATGATCAATTTAATATATTTTTCAAAGCTAGTGAGAAGGATGATTTGCAGATGAAAGGGACTCCGTGCTGCCTCTCACATCACGAGATGCTCTAGTTTGTTCTGCTGCTCAGATATTCTGCAGTTTGTCAGCCGTCAGCTTTGATGCTGCTCTCGCCATTTTTAGGGAACGATGCTTATGTGAGTCAAAACCAGAGGAGCGGCACAGATACATCTGGGATGTATGACATCTGGGATGGGATGAAAAATGTCTTACCAGAGAGGCTAAGAAGTTTGAAACTTCTGACTAAGAAGAGACCCGGCTTCAATTACCAAATTGCGAGCGGCTACATGACGTGGTGTAATACCAGCTGCGTATCATATCATATTGCAATTGAATATCATTACATTTAATCAGAATTAGGTTTTTTTTCCAAATCGTGCGGCTTGAGATGAAACACTAGTTTACAGAGTCTCTGCTGTTCACAAATAACAAAATGTGTAAGATGATTTCATCTTCATATTTAGCATTTTTTTAAACCATTCGTCCATAAATACTCAAATTAAACTGCAGTATAAGAAAACCGGACATGGTAGAGGAACAGGAAGTTATGAGGTAAAAAGCCAAAAGGGGTGGAAAGAAAAGAAGGGAAAAGCAGAAGAAACTCACGCTATTCTTTCCTCTGACCGTACACTTGCTGACGTCTTCAGATCGCCATGTCAGCTTCTGAAACACAGAGTACAGCACAGATCTGAATCTGACAGGATATGAACTTATTCATTCACCGTGAGCAGACAGACAGACAATAAGAGAGTATAATTCTACTTGTGATTGTGATTTTTGATCACAAATAAAAATGAATCATGATGAGATGTTTGAGTTTCAATCAAGGTCAACATTTGGTCGCCTGAAGTGGCATTGCATCTCCTTTTAGTAAGCGTCAGCTGTGTTGTTTAAAAGCTTTTCATCCAGTGGTAAAATACACTTTTAAAGACATTAATTATTCAAAAGAAAATGTAGAATTTGTTTGTGTCGGGGGAGAGCTATGTGGATAACTGCTCTCTGACTGTAAAGACCACAATGATGGTGAAGCAACAACTCCCACTTTATGACGTAAATTGGCATTGATTTGGTTTGGAGACACATAGTGGCAGAAAATGACTTATTCTGTGAGTAACCTGATCCTGTCTCAGTTGGACCTGTTATACCTGAAACATTCAAAACATTTCTCACACAGAGAGGGAGAATGAAATGCAGAAGGTGGACTTCAGCTGCGCTGCTGATGTCTGATCACTGATAAATAAAGTCACATCTCACTTCAAAGAGCTGCTGGAGACACAATAGACAGAGAGGCCCATGACCTCAGGTGCCACCCTGTAAACTTCACTGTCTGTGATGAGGAAGAGGTTTGCAGATGAAAGGCACTCTGTGCTGCTTCCCACTTCACAAGATGCTCTGGTTTGTTCTGCTGCTCTGGTAGTTACTGCTTTTTCTGCAAAAGATATTCTGCAGTTTGTCAGCCGCCAGCTTTGATGCTGCTCTCGCCACTCTTAGGGAGAGATGCTTACAGTATGTGAGTCAAAATCAGAGGAGCAGCACAGATACATCTGGGATGTTGGTAGATTTTAGCCACTGTGGTTAAGCTTTGTTAGTCTTTTTGTCCGCCAGAAAACATTTCTTACCAGAGGCTAAAAGGTTTGAAACTTCTGACTAAGAAGATACCAGGCTTCAATTACCAAATTACAAGTGGCTACATTACGGTGGTGTAATACCAGCTTCCTCCCACACTTTAACCTCGGCTCAACTAAAGAAAGTATTTCCAGTCTGAGAAAGCGTCTGACACTTAGGAACTCAGACAATTAGCAGACCTAAGTCGCCAGACAGAGGTTCAGATGAGAAAAAGGCTTATATGAAATAAGGCTGTAATATAGCCTTAAAGGTGGGGTAGGTAATTTTGGAGAAACCAGCTTGAGCGAACGCGCACATGACCAATGAGGGCACGAGATAAGTTTGTGCACAGATGGAAGGCTGACAGGCAGGTAGGCCATCCAGTTATTTTAGCCGGGCCGGCTTTTTACAGTACTACGGCTTCCACAGATGACATTTTATTATGGATTTGTTGTCAAAGCACTTCAGATATTCATTGCTATCGGGATGTTAAGAGCATTCCATGGAATATAACAACAAGTGTATCGCGAGCCAGTTTCTCAAACTTACCTATCCCACCTTTAACATAAGTTAAAAAGACTAGTTGTGAAAAAATTCCCCCCCTCACAGTTGTCATGAACTTAACTATACAGAATATATATATATTTTTGTTAGGATAGTTCATCAACTAAATGGTATTCCTCGATATGCCAAAAGGATGAAGGTGTTGACCCTGAATGGTGAGGGCAGATCATTGCATGCATCAATCTACATACTGTGTATTCTGCATGAGGAACCATGTTAGTTTGTCATGAACACACTGACCCTTACAGCACAGGTCATGGTGAGTTAGCATGATATAACATTTATAGCCATGCAATTCATATTCAGAATCCTTTAGTATGTCTCGGGTCTGTGTGCATCCGTTAACCTTTGAGCAGCTAACTCCACTGGCACAGATTAAAATAGGAAGCTTCTTTAACCTCTGTTTTAAAACAAAATATGAAAAATGATATCAAGTGTTTAGTTTAGAATTGTAATTACTGTGGAGTTTCATAAATGCATTGCTTAAATAGAAACAATCATCTAGGAAAACGTTTTTTTCTGTGGTTTAGAAATTCAAAGCTCCAGCGTATGTTCAAACCCAGAGGTGAAACGCGTCTCTCACAAATCTGTTTTCAAGAAGCGAAAAACACAGAAATAATCGTTTTATTTTATAAACCTGCAGGTCTCCCTTGAAAAATAGATCATTGATCTCAATGGGATTTTACCTGGATAAATAAAGGTTTTGAATTGAATATACTCACCAGCTGAGGGAAAAAACTCTTCTGAAGCTGTCGTCAGGTTCACTGCAAACACGTGATCCCTACAGAGGTCAGAGCACAGGTGCACTCATCAGAAGATCTGGTAGAATACATGTTGTGCTCAGTGTGCGACTGCCTGTGTTTCCTGAGAGCTTGTTTTTGTCAAATCCAGAATTTAACCCAAGTATCATACTGTGTCTTTTATAGGTTTAGGATCCAGATTTGATCTACTTCTAATGAAGCAAGTAATTTTCTCAATTTCCAGAATGCATTTTAACATTCAAAGGAACAAAACACTGGGAATTGTTGATCTAGAGTGGCGCAAACTCAATTTCAGCCACAGCATTATGGTTACCCTCAGAGGGTTAGGCTTATCTCAGCTTGTCACTCATTATTTCAGAGACGTAGAAAGGGTTTGGATAGGGCTGGTCGCAGTGTGTGAATGCAGGCTGTGTCACAGCTCCGTGATGGTGCCGATGTGCCGCAGTAAGTTGGCATGCAGGCTCTCACTTTGAGCCCTCATTTAATCTTTAACCTTCCCTCTGCATCAGCTTTTTTTGGATTGAACATTTTGGTACTGTTAATATTCTTACAACCAAATCCCTGCTGTGAGTGCCGCTGCTGGAAACGGACAATATTAAGACGCTTCAGTCCACAGGTCCCTTTGTTATTGAAAGTGTACTTCTGTAAAGCGGCATAGAATAGTGTGAAAGCTAGTTATTATCTTTGCAAGCTGTTGGGTGAGGTGCTGGGCCATGGGCCTTAAGGTTGACCTTGTGTGTGTGTGTGTGTGTGTGTGTGTGTGTGTGTGTGTGTGTGTGTGTGTGTGTGTGTGTGTGTGTGTGTGTGTGTGTGTGTGTGTGGTGTGTGTGTGTGTGTGTGTGTGTGTGTGTGTGTGTGTGTGTGTGTGTGTGTGTGTGTGTGGTGTGTGTGTGTGTGTGTGTGTGTGTGTGTGTGTGTGTGTGTGTGTGTGTGTGTGTGTGTGTGTGTGTGTGTGTGTGTGTGTGACCTGGCAGCGATGTACAGCATGTGGTTGATGCGCAGCAGCCTCTGAAAGTCCAGACCCAGACGCAGGGTGTCGTTGTCCTGAAGCAGACCCTGGAAGCCTGGAAACTGGTACGCCTCTGCAGACAGAGAGCAGAGTGAATCCCCAACAGACAGAATAGGTCTTTGAGGACAGGAGAACCATGTTGCTGGTACAATCTGAGCCTTAGTAATGTCAGAGAATTGTAGGACTATGTTCTGATGTTTAGTACTACAGCTTCCATCAGGGCTGCTAAAACAGGAAGCTACGAGCTATCCGGTAGAATCGTTTGAGAATTTCTCGCCAAGCTGAAATGTATCAAAATTATTTTTGCTACTGTTTTTTCTGCATAATGTATAAATCATTATTTAAAAATATGAAGCATAAAACTGCTGAAAGAGAATATTCGTGAAGGACTGGACGTTATGACGTGTTCTTAACCTGTTGAACCCCATCCCTGTTTTTCAGGTCTCAGGCTCGAAAATGACATTCCCAGAACAAATGACCATATCTTCCCTTCTAAAAGGGTTAAATTAATAATCTTTTTTCTCAAAGTAATGATAAACCTGTGAGTTGGATGTAGAAAAGTCAGAATCAATATAGATGTTTTTTATTTTAAAGAAAATTCAGATTGAACATAGTAAAAAACTGTAAATGATGGTGTCCGTCCAAAAAATCTTTTTTACTTAAAGTGAAAACCACCCTTGAATGATGGGATGGTAGACTAAAAGCTTTAGGAATCCAAAGTACAACATATAATAAGTACCCTGTATCAAGACAAGTGACATTTGACCTTTTTAGAGAGGTTTAGCAAAAATAACTCCACCTCTGGGGGTGATTTGGGTGGAAATGGGCGTTGTTGCCGTTTCTCTGGAACCCATTGGTCGATTTTGGTGATTGACATCTCTTTTTAACCGTTAGAGCCAATAGAATCAACAGCGAATTTCCACATACACACCAACGTTAACAAAAAAAAGTGGGGGCTTCGTACATGCAGTTTTGGCCAGAGCGAACCTATCTCTCGCTCTGACATTTGAAAACGGAACAGTCGGTTTATTGCTTATGGATTATCAGAAATCATTTCAAAGGGACACAGACACATTGGATTAACCTATGGATTAACCTTCAGCAGCGTTGTTATCGTTTTAATGCCATTGAAGACCACTTTTGACCAGACAACGACAAAGGTAAGCCATTTTGCCGTTTTTAACTACCTAGCGCCACGTGTTTTGATGTCTGGTTTTGTTTATAAAGTCGTGAGTTCTTATCATGGAGTGATAATGTAGGTACCGATCGATTCTGTGTCTCCTCACCAGTGGCGACTGGTCATTAGGGGCAGGTGGGGCACAGCCCCACCTAGTGTCAGCAGAAAGTATTAAAATAATGATTGCAACAAAATGCAATAAATAAATTAAAATATATTACAAATATATTTTAAGATCATGTTTAATCATCTGATTCGTCTGTACATTGCTGTTTTAGTCTGTGTTCTTCTAATTAGTGTCCACAGTGTGTGCCTATTGAGCTGTTTAGAGCCATGTGGGACAAAAACCCGATCATGCCCCTCCCTCTCACAGTCTAAGTGAACGGTGACTGTAAAAACTACACTGCGCATGCTCAGAGTATTTTCCTATTTAATGTGTGTGGCAAAAAATAATGAGCATAGGGGCATAGAGCTGCCATCCCCACCATACGTCATCTCACATCATTCAGAGCTGATTGGCTGTAAGTACGTGTGCCGCGAAAAGTGTGGTGTGTGAAGAGCAGGTGAAGAGGAGGAGAGAGACGCATCCTAAAACCAGGAAGTAAGCTGCGCATGGCTTCCTCCACAAAAAAGCAATGAGATTTCTCCATAGGATTTTAGAAAATAGCTCCAAATAAGGTCTGTGGGAAACAAACCTGTTAGATAAATGCAGGTTTTGTTCAGCCGGATAATATCCACATGTCTACCCTACTTTTATCATTTTCGAATCATAAATCCATCATTTAGATTTATGATAGACTTTTGAAACTACAAGAACATAAGGAGGACTTTTACAAAAAAGTAATAGAGATTTTTGTCCAGAAGGATAGGCAAATGGACTTCATCTTCAAGTCAAGGTAAGACCATCATTTTATTGAAAATGGGATCTTACTAAGAGAGAACAATTCAATATTTAAATGATAAAATTACATTTTTTGGGTATCCTTCTGTTGAACTGTCTGTTTAAAATTAATTGAAGCATCAGACTAAAGAGGCTTTTGAAAATAATATTATATTTTGATTAGGTCAAAATATAATATTTGTAAACCTGAAGAGTCAGTGCCAGTGCCTCACCAGCCATGAACCTCACTGCAGAAGCTTATATATAGACATCTACGTTTTTTATGCCCCCACCATATTATGCTCCAAACCACTTCAAGGATTATTTCTGAAACAGTATGGAGCTCAAATGCTTTTTTCTCTCACGAGTTTACGACAAGGTGAGTTTTTTTTTCTTTCTGCTTTTTTACACATACTCTCTCCAGTACAGCTTAGCTCTGAGTGTTAGCAATGCTTGCTAATGTAAAACACAGACCATATTACTATCCAGAACACATTGTGCATTGTTTCTAATAGCAACGTTTCTGACCATTACAGCATTAACATCTCTTTAACCCTCAAACAGTCCACTCACGTGCCGAGCCGACCACACTTATTGGCTCCAGGTCTCTGGGGAAGTGCGTGCTGGAGGCGAACTCAGACAGGAAACAGGTAGCAAGGATAAGCAGCAGCGACCGTCGCCACGGTGAAAACCAGCTGGGCGAAGCCATTTTTTAGGAGAGTAAAAGGGGATGTGTGATGATGTCAGCAGGTCATGGTGTGTGTCGTCTGAGAGGAAACAGAAAGATAAGTGTTAGAGACAAGAAAAAGCCAGTGTGTGTGTGTGTGTGTGTGTGTGTGTGTGTGTGTGTGTATGTGTGTGTGTGTGTGTGTGTGTGTGGTGTGTGTGTGTGTGTGTGTGTGTGTGTGTGTGTGTGTGTGTGTGTGTGTGTTGTGTTAGAGAAAATGCATTTCCTGTTGAAAAATACGTACGAATGCTGTAAGCGGTGTACATTTTTTGACTATACCTTCACTTCTAAAAGGGGTAAATTAATAATCTTTTTTCTCAAAGCAATGATAAACCTGTGAGTTGGATGTAGAAAAGTCAGAATCAATATAGAATTTTCTTATTTTAAAGTAAATTCAGATTGAACATAGTAAAAAAATGTAAATGTTTACTGTCCGTCCAAAAATAAAAACATTACTTATTGTGAAAATCACCCTTGAATGATGGGATAGTAGACTAAAAGCTTTAGGAATCCAAACTATAACATATATTAAGTACCCCTGTTTCAAAGATTGATGCAAAACAAGTGAAACTAGAGAATGCAATTCCTGAAGAAATTGCTAGTGGGAATGCTTTATGCTGAAAAGCTGACGCTAAACTGCTATGCTGAAATGTAATGTGTAAGAAGAAAGGTGAATAATTTAGATTGAAATGATAAATGAACACTGGAAAAAGAAAATAAAGTAAAAAGGCTTGGAAAAGCAGCAGAATCTTTGAACTGCAAACTTTGAACTAACTTGGATGGCGAATGATCTGTCGCCATGCCAACGGCATTTGATGACATTCCATAATACGCTTAGATGCTTTGATGGCTGCATCTTTACCAAACCTGTGAAGTTTTGGGCCGTTGGAGCATTTTCACTGAAGTTATGAGAAAAACCGTGTTTCATGGTGAGCATTGTTGCCATGGCAACAGCATTGGAAGAAATCTCAAAACTGTCCCGTAGATTGTCTTCACGGTTGGACTGTTATCACACATGTGAAGTTTGAGCACTTTTTGAATATTTTCATAGGAGTTATAGCCACATCGTCTTTTATGGCGAGGGATACGCATCCCTCGCCATGGAAACGGCATATGATGACACCCCATAATTGACATAGAGCCTGTTGAGGGCAGGACCGTTAACCATTATCTGAAGTCTGCTGCTCTGAGCATGTCAGTTGGAGTGATGACATCATCGTGTTCCATTACACAGGTGTTTATATTTGAGCTAACGAGGTGTCCAGAGATCAAAGGTTTTCATGGTGATGTGCAGTAATCAGTGAGAGGAGAGCATTTTCATTGTTCTGAATGAGATAAACTTCTTACTTGTGAAAATTTTGTGGAAGAACCGTAACAGATATCGGTGTGAAATTTCAAAAGCGTGAAGCATGTCAAGGAACTTGAAGCATCTGAAGTGTACCTTTTGTGTACTTTCGGGTTATAATGTAGCCTTTTGGCAGATTAACTAAAGGTGTGCGGCGGC